TTTAAGATTGACTTGCAAAAACGACGGGAAGGGATGCGATCGACGTCGTGTATAACAGTTCAAGTTTATAAAGACGGGGTTTGCAAAAACGAATTGGAATGCCCAAAATAACGATTCTCGCGGACGAAGACGCTGGCACAGCTAGTATGGTATATTTATTAAACAATAATGATAATCAACTGTTCAACTTTTAACTGTGTAAAATATATGGTTGTAATGTGTTTGTTGAATTTGTACGTACAAATACACGTCAGAAATATAATACATTAGCATCTGTATTCAATCGATTGAGCGTAAATCATATAACTGATAGATAGTTATAAAAAAAAATATGCAAATTCAAAGGCCTACGTATTGCGGAACCGAAATTAACATGAAATTACGGTGTTAATCTACGTATTACCCTCGTATGTTACTGTATATGGCGCAAATACGACATAGTTGTGTCTCTGTTGACTGATTTGTTAGGTTGATTTTCCGTCTTACACGACCGGGTAAAAAAGGGCAATTATTTATTTATTGGTAGGTAATAAATACATATGGTGCAAAAAACCAAACAAAAGGTTTTTAATTTATTTTCTCATAGCTGTTACAGATTTAGAAGACATACATTTTCAGTTTATTATATTCACATTTTACTTTGCTGCTCTGTGGATGTCTTATTAGTTTTTTAATTCATATAATGCCATCATGTGAATAAGTTAAATACAGTCTGTAGTTTACGCGAGTAGTACACATTTATATAAAACATTGACGGTTTTAAACGCGATTATATATTAGTTAAACTTCGGGTCTTAGTTAAAATAATTTTCAAATAAGTGTAACTTATATATATTGCGTTTTAACCCGTTTGTGTTTTATTAAAATGTGTCCTACTCGCGTAAACTACAGACAGTATCACCTCCATCTAGTTGAATGTTTCAAGCAATAAATAAACACTTAAACTACATACATCCTTCGCAATATTAATATCCCTGGTAGTAAAACAGATTTATATGCGATGATAAATTCACACTGTTCGAATGGTCATACCGGGGTCGTATTAATAAACTTTCAATTTTATTACACGAAGTTTCAAAATTAATTAGTCAGTTTTTGAATCGCGCGGGAATAAAAAGTCATTGTAAATTCTTTTAAATAGTTCCCAATCCGTTTCCTTTTATATATGCATGTCATTTAAATAGAACTCTTTTAACGGTTTAAAACGTGAATATTTTCGTAATTTTAATTGAAAGGCAATAGTCGTGGTCACAGGAGACGTATGCATATTAGTTTACGATATTTCTTTATCGAAACCGGGGAGTTAAAAAACTTCGGGTCTTACGATCGAAATTTCTATTGCATTTACACCATTTTATCGACAAAGGTTCCCGATTATTAACTAAAGTTATACTGAATTATTCGGGTTAATTCTTATGGATTAAAAAAAATATGAAATAACCTTAAGCAGCCCGGCCTTTCTACAGACAAAGTATCAGCATTCTCACTACATAGTATAAAACAAAGTCGCTTTTTCTGTCCCATGTACGTAAATCTTTAAAACAATTTGATGATTTTTATTTAGATAGAGTGATTCAAGAGGAAGGATTTTTATACACAACGTTTTTCGTAGTGTATTTATTGTCACCCGAGCTAAGCCGTGGCGGGCCTTTTGTTGTGCTTTTACTATCGGTTAGATTAGCAGTGTAAAACTTTCTATTACATCGAAACGCAGATCGAATATTTTTGATCATTGATATAAGGCCACCTGCATCCTGCTCTGTATATCGTACAAAAAATTGGGAAAATTCCCTTCTCTATAAATCTAAATCTATTTATATAATTTTATAGGCTGCCGAAGGCAAGCGTAAATATTTTTTACATAAAAATGTACGTTGCGGACGTTACTTTGGCTATCACGGTTTGTTTATGCTGCTAAAATATTTTGCCAGCGATCGATGCCTTAAACATTCCCATTTCATTATTTCTTCAATATGAAGGACGCACGTTTGATTTCCTTGTAAAACGATTTTAAAGTCTTCATCAGAATAAAGTGTCGATATCCTAAGTTCCATCAATAATTTTTTATCTGCATAAATGTTAAATACTGTCTGTAGTTTACGGGGGTAAACAGACACTTTTAAATAAAACACTTTAACGGTTTTAAACGCGATTTATATTTTTTTTACCTTTTTTTTCCCCCCCCCCCCGTTTTCTTTTTTTTTTGGGGGCCCCCCCCCCCCCCCCCCTTTTTTTTTTTTTTCCGTAACAAACCTTGAACATTTTTTTAAATTTAAATTACCTCTCTCTCTTTAACTACCCATTTTAGATTTAAAAAAATGAACATAAGTGTAACCAGTGTGAAACGTAACTAATAATACAGTGAGTGTAAGTGAAATATAATGGCGTCGCAACCACGTGTTTCGCGAAATGTTTCACTTCCGGCCGGAAGGCAGCCGGCCACAGTTGGGATGCTGGCGAGGAGAACGCTGTCGGAGAGGTGAATATAGTACTTGGCTCTTTCAATTTCTGAAAACCAGTTTAGGCATATTAAATTAAGTTGGTTTAATTTCAACACGTACACACAAATGTACCGGTGTGTGAATTGATGACTACAATGAAAGTCAAAACGACAAGAATTCTATCTTTTAATAAATAAAGTTTGACGAGCTGAAACGGGTCGTGGCTCGATCCCAAACATGTTTTTAATTAGTTTATTAGTCCGAAATCATCTGGAAATCTGGATGTTAACTGGGTAACAGATATCGATATTTCTTCCGGGCCCAGATGGAAAAGCCGTCAAGTTTAATCTCGTTTTGGTTTCAGTGGATTTCCAAATAATATAACAATATCCAAAGTCAAAATAAGTCGACAGCCCATCTTGTTTTGATGTTATTTGGCTGGTGTATTTCACTAAGTGAAGCCACGTCTTACCTCTATCATTAAAAAATGTTTTAAAACAACCTGTAGTCTAGCTAATCAGACGAGTCACGAAAATTAAACGGTTAATATTTTAAGTAAACTATGCGTTGACATGCGCTTATCGTAATTACTTGTCACGTTACGTTACGAAAGATAACACACGCCGCCATTGTTTTGTCAAGGATATTGATTTTTTTTATTATTTTCAACATCCGAAAGTAACAGCCGAACTGTAGTTTTTTTAACAATCCACCTGCTCATTTGTAGTACTTTAATAAGCGTTAAGACGATGCACCATAGTGCTAAAGTTTGTATATTTTCTCTTTAAACTTTAATATTTCCTACACGTCATCGTCCAATTAGTGGAATAGGTTAAAATTGACGATGCCATGTGGGACACGGTGGCTCAGTTGGTTAGAGCAACAGCACGGAATGATGTAAATGCCGGTTCGAGCACTGCCCGTGTCGTATTTGTTTTTATTTATATTTTCTTTTAGTTGAGCAATATCGTCGTACCTTTATCCGTAATAGGATTATAATAATGCAAAAGCAAAGTAATAATTGAATAAAGACAGGGTCATGTCTTATAATGGATTCTATGGAATTGTGCGCGTGCTACTGCGAAACATACGTGGAGTCGAGTTGGCGTTCAATTTGTATAATGTGGAAAGTGTAGTTCTAAGAAAGGGCACCAATTTACACAATATTAATCTAGTTAAAATTGCGTGGGTGTCGAGTGCTTTGTGATGATTATAACTTGGTAATTTTCTTTTTAATTTTCACATGAAAACTATTACATAGAAGGAAATTACTGTTTCTAGTGTCAAAGTAACAATTAAAAGTGCGTTAAATAGCGATAGTGGTGTACTTATCTAAAAACATTTTTAATTGGTCCACGTTCAAGAGAAATATATACTTATTTTGACAGACAACTAAACCTTCATAAATGTTTACATATCAAAAATTACGGAACATGTTGTTTATCCTAAACGTTCGTAAAGATGTAATTTTCCTCGTGTAGTTGGAGTGTGATAACTGTTCATCCTCAAAATATTCCAAGGAACAAACGCCAGATTTGTATATGTGATTGAGGCATATGTTTCGCGGTTCTGTTATCTTAAAATATATCTCGAACAACACTGATCTGATGCCGCAGTTGCAATAAATTTTAAAAATATTATAGAAGTCTGACCTTACAAAGATATTATTTTTTTATTTGTTTGTTACAAGTTTAATTATGTTTAATCTTAATCTTTTGTCATTAAAATTTTCCATCTATTTACTTTTTATGATAGAGGAGGACAAGAATAATGGGGTCATTTGACATAAGGTGAAATACTCCAGCCATATAACATCTATATATATTTTTGGAAATCCAGACTAAAAAGCGAAATCCGAAACTAAAAAGCGATTATACATCTAGAAGCGATTATCATCTTGCCGATCGCCTCGTCTCTTGTCAATTGAAAAGCGATCGGCCGATTTTTTTATAAGAGTATATTTCTCAGTAGAGGTTTTCATTTCGATGAAGAAAATAATTTAGCAAAGGAATGAAGAGATTATTAAAACGGTGCACAGTCTATTCCTAATATAGCGCACCAGTCTCCCTTCGATGTTTAGTGTGCGGCTTCCTCCCGACCTTTGAGCTTCGGTTCGAGCTATTAATATGTAAACGATTGTTTTCACGGAATCGAAGCTAGCGCGGATTTCGTCTGATTGCTTCCTGTGATATAGAGAGGCGTATTGTTCACTGTTTCTGTTTGTTTTGATAAATATGTTTTAGTGCCAATGTGTACTAAGATGACAGAAAGGTGATGATGGAATACAATATATGAGGCCGCTAGAGGCAGAGTAGCCTAACTACAATTTATGACTAGACTTATTTACATTTTTTTAGTTTAAAAATGGCAATCTACAAGATCACAGTAATCGATAAAATGGTCAACATAATTCTTTCACAAATAAAAAAATATATTATTTCTGTCAATGTCAATACTCCGTTAAAATATACATTAAGAAATATACCTACAGGTTTAAGCTAATTGTCCAGTTTTACTTCTTTTGGTTAATAAACATCTAACATAACTCTAATATTGCAGTGACCTGGAACCAGGTGCAGCCACAGCGCCATCGGGCAGCTCGAGCAATTCCAGCTTATCCTCGAAAAGCAACGAGAGCAATACAGCTGCAACGGAACAACAAGGTACAGATTATTTTCGCTACTTACGCAAAAAAAAATTTCTTTATTTAACTGACCGGTCGTTATAGTATTAGAAATATCTGAATAAAGTTATTTACTTTAAAGATTGGTCTGAAGAGGAAGAGCCATTGGCTTCCCAGTGGTCGGACAGTCTTCCACCAGGAGTGAGAGACACCATAGTGCTGTGCGCGAGGCTTAGGAAACGGCAGGAGGTTATACATGGTAAGATTTATCACCGTTTTATTTATTTATTCTGAAGCATAGCAGATACACCAAAATAATACAATTTATAAAAAAAGATGGCACCTTATGACATAAGGATACCTACGTCCTAGGAAACATTTTACAAATACAGATAATAATAAATTAATCTATACATACTACACATATATAAACGTGGAAAAAATGGGGATAATTATTCATAATTCATAAAGGAGGTTGTTTGCAAAAATATGCCAAAAATAACTTTACCACGCGGGCCAAGTCCCGGCGACTTACAGCTTTTACATGACAAGTAAAAAGGATTAGCTTACAAGTAACATATCTAACATCATTACAGGTGCCTACACTCATGAGGACACGAAAATATCTAACCGTTAAATTTTGTACTATGCGAGTACATTACACGTTACGTATTTAGTGAGTTTAGAAGGTGCCGAAATTTTTAAAAAGCAGATCGGTTACTCGCTTAGGATATCTTGCTTTAACATAATACAATAAAAAAATCATCCTTGCTTTCAGAGCTAATAGTCTCGGAAGGGTCTCACGTGCGCTGGCTGAAAGTTCTTGGCGGAGATTTCCTCAAGCCCCTAGAAAGACAGCCGTCCCTACTACCCACTGAGGAGTTGAAGGCTCTTTTCCCCAATCTACCCAGCGTGAAGGAACGTCACGTGAGACTATATTCAGAGCTCAGGGCGGTGCGAAACGAGGCACCGAACCACGTGGTGCAAATTCGACCTATCGCTGATGCATTGTTGAATACGGTTAGTAGCTTATTTTACGGCCTCCTAGCTTTAATTGTTTCTTGGCGTTGTGTTAAACATGAGAGGAACTAACTTCGAAATTAGTGATAAATAATGATGATATGGAAAAGCAAATTTGAAGAAGGATACTCACAAACTGTTTTACACCGTACGTTTAATATAAGGGCCTAATGTTACTTTGGGAATGTGGCCTTCCAGTTATATGGGTTAGGTTTTGAATATATCTGTATTCTGTTGTCAAGGGGTTCAAGATTCTTTTTCGTGAGTTGATTAAATAGTTGATGTCAAAATTATTTACGTAATGTTGTAGCATTAATCGTTAAACAAAGTGAAATTCCGTTTCTCCCCTTGGGCGAACACATTTCTTTGTCCAGTTCACTAATGGTTTTTATTAACAGGAAAGTCGTAGATCAGACTGAAATAATTTATTTACTTGATAGACCCCTCGCGCTTATCGCAATGCTAGGCAACACGTTAACCATTTGTTTATTGGTCGTTATTTGTGTACGTCTAGATTACAAAAACGTCTCTCCATGACCATGGCTGCTGTAAAGCATCCGAAACGTAGGGCCCATAGCTAAAATAATATTCAAATGAGTGTAACTAAGATATATCGCGTTTTAAACCGTTAAAGTGTTTTCTTTAAACGTATATATATTAGGACCTTGTGTCAACTGTAAATTGATGTTTCTTCCAGCTGGGTGAAGCCGGCTACGCATCATGTCTGTCTCACTTCTGCCGCGGGCAACGAATGGCCCTGGACGCGCTGCGCGAGAGACGACGCAAGAACAAGGATCTGCACCAATTCCTCGCGGGCCGAGAACAATTGCCGCGATGTGGCCGGCTACAGCTGCGTGATCTCTTGGCCTGTGTGTGGCAGAGGTACACTAATCTTATAACTAAAGAAGTACTTAATAAGAAACTAACTAAATTCAGACAATGTTGGGTAGTTCCGTCGAAATCCTTTTACCTGTTCACAGTGCGAAAACAACAAAATATAGACATATGCTGTCTGAATTGGTAGAGTAGGGGTTTTTGACAGCCTCGTTGGTCATATAACCACCAGATCCAACATGTTTTTAATCAATTTATTTTATAACATGTTGAACTTTGTCCGCAATGAATATGTAAAGTGTGGTAAGAATATGGAAATTCCGTCTGGAATCCACTATCCACAGATGGTAAAGCAGTCAAGATTAATCGCCTTTGGGTTTCAGTCTTTGAATTTGAAACAAAAAATTTATTGACTACTAAAGCACACAAAAACTATCTACAAGCTTATTACTTAAACATAAAAAAACAAAACACATTAATCGAACAGAACTTAATATTTACAGGATAGGATAATGTTGTGTGCTGCTAGTAGAATAGGATCTTACTCAGTTTATATCAGGCCCTTTGTTGACCTGAGACTGATTTTCAGTAAGTCCTTAGAGTGTGGACAGCGGTGTCACACTCAAGTGAAAATAAACAAAACAAAAGTCGCTATTGTACAAATAAAAACACGACTTAAAAAAACTCGCAGTCAAGCTGCGTAAAGAGAAAAAAGATTGTTCCATTTTCAAATATCCAAAGCCAAAATAGGTCGACTGCGCATCTTGTTTAAATGGTATACAGCGGGGGTATTGGGGGGGGGAATTACCCATTTTTAACTTTCCTCCGCAATCATACAAAATAACGCGTTCTGACTTACTGTGTTTTTATACATGTACTAAAACAAACTTACTCCTATCAGGATTCAAATGCATTATATTTTCCACGTCCGATTTCAGGTTAACAAAATACCAGCTCCTCCTAGAAGGTATCCTGAAGACAGTAACAGAAGATCAAAGCGAGGAAGATGCTGAAAGCGAAGAGGACATTGCTCAGCTTCGTAAAGCCCTCCAAACTGCGAAGGAGGTGTTGCACAGCGTAGACATGGCTATACGGACTGCTGAGAACGAGCACCGGTCAGTATTTTTGGCACGCGCTGATTATCAGTTTCATCAATGTCATGATTTCTAGAAAATTTTAATAAAGCATTTTTATACTTAAATGCTTTTAATTTATTGTGTACAGGTGTAATGCACTTTTTCGACTGTATTAAACATCTGGCCGTAGTTAAAATAATTTTCAAACGAGTTTAACTAGTATATATCGCGTTTTAAACCGTTAAAGTGTTAGTGTTATGTGATTTTAAAGAAAAATTATGAAGCATGTATCAAATTCTATAACCATGTCATACTTTCAGATTGAAAACAATCCAAAGCAAATTAGAAGTACGTGTGCCCGTCGGACCCGAATGGGAGGAACTGAGACGGCTAGAGCTGACTCAGCATTCGCTGAGAATGGAGGGAGAACTTCTTGTTAGGACTGATACGAAAAAAATGAGCGTACTCGTAAGTTATAAAACTAATGTTAATGTTAAAGAGAAGTCTTTAACTTGATTCGAACCGTCATTAAGTTAAATCAATTCATAAAAATAACATAAAAATTTAATTAAAACACTAATGATTTGTAAATAACTAATATATTTCTCGTTTCAAACCGTTAAAGCAATGTGTAATACTCGCGTGAACTACAGACAGTATTTAAAAATAAAATTGGTCTTATTCAAATATAAAGGTGCTTTTTTTTGTATTTAGATTTATTATTTGTAGTATTATCACATGTGTTTTTATTCCAGGCATTAATGCTAGAAGATAGCCTAGTTTTGCTCCAACGTGAAGCTGAGAGGTTCCTGTTGAAACCGATTGCGCAGCCTTCACAGAATACACTACTTTCACCACTTATTAAATGGTAAGTACATGTTACTTAACTATACTTTTATTTTTTTACTATTTTATTTGTACCGCCCAAGAATGGTTTTAATGTTGAGAGAACAATGACAGCTTACGTTGTCGATTAACTATACTTTTTCTATTACATGAAAAAGGTTCTACTGTATATTATTAATTCAACAGTACATGACCATACATTGCCTTGACTTTTACTTCCGAGATTGTTGTTACGTACGTTTTCTTTGTTTTATTATAAATTTACATGACTGCAGTGTAACAGAGAAAAACGTAGAATTGCTGTGTTCTTATTTTGTTAGTTTCTAGTGAACAATTCGGTATATTAATTTATTTTTTATTTTACAGGGACAAAGTTCTGTTCCGACCCAATGCCGCTATGCGCAACACGTTCTTCCTAATGAACATCAACGGCATTCAAATGCACGAGCTCTCCGCTAATACCGCAGCGGAATACTCAACGTAAGTATGGCATACTGATCGCCGTAACCATGGCGACGACCTTCCACGATCTCGTCGTTTTTACATACATATAGTGTATGTATAATAATATAGCAAATACACTATTTTTTTCTGCTTAACTGTATAATCAGCTGTTGTTAGTTGCAATGTCCTTCAAGAAACACTCAGTGGCTTATCTTTTCCCAAGTAACGTTGACTCTTGTAGGAATATATTTTTTTAAAAATTAAAATCTATGATTCAACGTTGCCATAAAGACGTCTTAATTTTATTTTAGATGGGTGAGACTAATACAAGAGTCGCGGCTTGCTGAAACAAAACCCACTCTTACATCCTCGCATCAGCACACCAGATCGACCGATGACTCGGGTAATGTATAACTATACATACAATAATATTATATAGACTGAAATATCTTTTTACATAAAGCTATATAAATTTAATTTCCTCAAAGTTTATCTGATATACAAAATTAAGATAGTAAAAGATTTCTATTGTAACCTTAATGTCTATATACAATAGCGAAAACCTTTCTAAATAAGTAAACAATACTAAAGAAACTTATTTTCAGGTATAAACGTTTCAAGGAATCCTTCAGACGCATCCGAGAAATCTACGTCCAGCGCCCCGCCCGACGACACCTGTGACAGCGACCGTGAAAACAGAGAAAACAAGGAAAAGGATGTAGGAGAAAAAGAGACGCGAGATAGAGCGTCGGTCGAGCCGGAAAGAGAAAAGGCATCTGTAGAGCGAGAGGACAAGACGGAACGTATGAATAGATCTGTGTCAGTTGATAAGGACGATGGAGAGGAGAAGCATAGGTTGGTTTAATGTTGTATTTCTAATAATATAGATATATATGTATATATAATTTAAAAATCGATATTTTCATTGCACGTTGAGCACGTCGAGTTGAAGATAGGTTCATAACTCACTATCACGTTGGAATTATTATTCTGTGAGGATGTGTGGCTGTTTAAAATAAATAAAATGTAGTCCATTTCTATTGAGTTATAAAAGTTTATAAAGAATGAAAACTTTTAATTTTATTACAGACGACGCGCAACTGTGGGCCGTATAACGACGCATGTTGATCCCGAAGACAGCTGCGGTCTCGTAGACGGCGGGAACATCACTATAAGGCCGCCCATACAAGGCGTACCCACCGCCCAGAGAGTGCTTTCACATACAGGTACCTTGAACATTTCTATTGATAAATACTTGCGGTGCGGCAACATCGCAAAAAAATCCTCTTTGGGAATTTTAGGGCGGCAACCTCGCAATAAAATATATTAGTATTTTGTTTATAATATGTATATGAAGGGAAATGATGTTTCTTTGTTATTTATTTTGTTATATTTTTTTAGAACGCCTAAGGCGACTCGACGAGGCGATATCGCGCGCTCTACAAGCGAAGAGTGCTGTTGTAGCAGAAATTTTGGGTGTTCCGGCAGACAGCTTCAGTCATATGGCCGAGTTGGCAGTTGCAGATACACTGGGGCATGTCGGTGAGTCGAACAAACAAACATATGATGATTTATGTCAAAATAAATTGATCTAATCTAGTAAAATTTCATTTGATACGATAACGGAATATTTATTTTCAGATCTCTGCGCCGATCTCCGACCGCATGAAATGTCCGTGGAGGGTGAACCTGACGTGCATCAGCTGCTGTTGGCTGCGCAGGCGCAAGGTTAGTAATATACGAATTTATAAGTAAATAATGTCGACTATGACTATCGTATTTCCCATCTTCTTATTTATTGTCTTATGTTCTGATGATGTAATCAACTCTGCGACGTTTTAAAAGGCATTTTTAAATAAGTTGTAGAAATTAAATTCATAATACTTCCTTTAAGACAATATGTCAAGAATTGTAAATTAAGAGAACTAATGAGAAAACTATTTTATTCTTTTAGCAAATCAACTGACTGAAGCACTAAGTGGCGCACTATCTGTAAACGAAGCAAGTGTGGTGCGCGCGCGCAGTGGTCGATGCGATTCATGTAAAAATCGGACTCTCAGGCCCTCCACATATGCGCATAATAATGGTACGTAATCTTACTGTAGTTAAAGACATTATTTTTTGACAAAAAATCTTAAATAATAAATTATGAGAGAGATATTTTCATATTTGGTGGTTTCAATCGTTTAGTGTATATTTAGATATTTCTAACATATAATCACATACTCACAATATATATTTTTTTCTAGATTCGATGGATAACTCGACGTTGATCTCAGATGATCCAGTGGGTGACATGTCCCGCGTGTCCGATGCAGACGCCAGTCACGCAACACAATCGTTTGACACGTCTTACGAAATGTTGAATGATGTCGATAATGAGTTGCGCGAACGGACGGTTGAGAACGCTTTTGGTAAGAACTCACCATTTGTTATATATATTGCGTATTTATGTTATCGTTAAAAAAAATACCCTGCATATAGTAGACTCTCCATTGTAGACGAGGATATTTTATTATGTGTACTATGGTTATATTAGTTCTTCGTAGTGTCGTTCAGCGTGGGTTCGGTTGTCTCCATTTCGTTGTAGAAGTTGGTCTAAGAACGGAGACGCCGGGGCCTCTGAAAATCATTGTGCAACAGAAGCGTGTTTATAACGTTATGCTGAATGGCTCTTGTTTTAGGAGTTGCCATTGTTAATGTTTTAAGCCTTGTATATTCATATAATTTGACTAACTTATGAAGTGAATTTAGTTCATATTTTGTATTTCTTTGTATGCAACTTTCAAATAAATGATTGTTTATTATTAGATTCTTGGTTTGAGTCCTGACAAAACATCAGTAATTTAATTGGCCACGACACACTAAGTTTACAAAACTCACCTATCATGGAACGATTTCATTTCAATTCATTGTACTTCATTCCTCCCTTTGCAGCTGAAGAGATACGTTCGTCAAGCGCTTCCCAATTAGCAAGCAGTCTAGTGGGCATTTCCTGCGGCCTGCAAGCCTCTTTGGGCCGTCTCGTGGCTTTGCTGCCCGCCATCGACACTAACAGACAAGAGTTGAGAGCGAGTCTAGCTGCAACCAGAGAACGAGTGGAAAAACTCGCTTATGGTAGGTTAAAGCAAGATAAATCAAACATTTGAACTCTAATTTTTCTTCTTAGTTTGCTTTCTCACTCATTTAAAATTTAAGTATTTATTAATTACTTATCTTAATAGATAAATATTTTATTTTTTCTGTATATTAAAAATGTTGTGATATTTATTATGTCATAGAAAATCTTTTACTGCGTATTTCAGATAGAAAAATCAGCGAGGAGATGTCGTTTCCAAATGAAAACGTGGCCCACTCAATACAGGTCGGTGTTAGCACTTATTATTTATTAAAAGGTTTTACTGAAAATCAGCATTATAACTAATCGGCATTAGTTCCCGTCCGTTTTGTCATTTATTTACTTTTCATTAATTATAAGATACTGTTCCTTATTCGTGAAGTATTGTTTGGAATTGAAGTATTTTGTTATTCGATGAACGATATATATTTATTTTGATATTTCGTTGCAGGACCAACCAAGTAATGGAGGCTGATCTCGGCGAGCGACCTGAATAAATTGACATTTTGACCAAAAAGCTGGTCTTTTGACTTTGTACAACGCCATCTTTTGGCCAAATTCCAACAAAATCCCAACGGGTTACGAATCGATTGAACCGATGTCGAATTGAAATCGATTTGAAAATTGTATATTTTGTAATATTTTTTTTCTGTTACCCTTTCTGTAAGTAAAAGTAGTGTTAAAATTATTTTATTCCATACATAAGTTGTGATCAATAACTTGTATAGAGAAATTAATATTATAAATGAGTGTCTCGCAACCTTTTAAGTTATTGTAAATATATATCTGTTTGTATTTGACAGCCACGTATTTTATCAGAAAGTATTAACGGACAATATAAAATATACATAAAATCAAATTATTAGTAGGGGGCTTTTTGAAGTCAAAATTAGTTTGCGCTGTGTTTTTATGTTTAAAATGGTTAACAACTCTTTAGTACACTTAATATGTCTCTAATATAGTATCGATATATTAAAACGCTTATCATATTTTGTGTAACGCAATACAAAATAATTTATAATATACCTTCTTCAGTATAAAGCTTTTGACCTATTTGTACAAGTTTTTATATATTATTAATAATGTTTAAATGCATTTTAGTAACGTCTACAAACATTCTATTATATGTGTAGATATTTTTGTCCATTATTGGACGTTTTTTCTCAGCCCCTAATATTCGTAATACCAGTAAGGCACCGTACTAGTACTACGTAAGCAAATATTGTAATATGTATAAGTACGATTTTTGCCCTCATCCATTCTAACTTATGTATTTTTCTATTATATTACCCCGCACTTCAAAGCCCCCCCCCCCAAACTTGCTTACGTAATATTTGAATGGTCGCTGACGGCTGTAATTCCATAAGTTTTGTTTCGTCGATAGATGATAAGCGAAAGTGCCCACGAGATAGTTATGCCATATTCAGATACTAATTCCAACATTTTTATAAAAAATCCAAAATGCACAAACATTTCTTGAAACCTACCACATGAATAAGAGCTTTCTCCAATTTGATTAAATTACAAAGAGAACTTCGTCCAACATTTTGGTCGAGTATCTATAGTTTACACGTTAGCAACGGTTTTTATTTTGTTTAAGTAAATTGTTTCTCATTTTGGATTTTGGTATAACAATGTGAGGCTATATGCTGTTTCATTTTTTTATTGTAATGTTTTTTTTACTTTACATATTTATTTTACAAATCATTTAAATTATGATTTAATAACCATTACGGTTAATTAAATGTATATTTTTTTACTCCTTATAAAGAAATTAAGCAGCGTATAGCTATTATGTGTAAGTGATACCTAAGTGTCTAACATACGATAGCCATAGATTTGTAACATAATATATATGTACAAGAGAAATATTATATGTTTTGTACTTAGGCTAGTTGTACACCAAAAACCATCCATCTTGTCACTATATGCGTCTGCGTATGTTTCTTAAAACCCTCGAATAGATTGCAATCTGTTATAATCTTTTTGTTTAATTATAAATTCAGTTAAATCATGTTTTTTTTTAATTGTTTACCAAAACACAGTCTAGACTACCTTGAAATAACTTATAATAGACATAAAGTTATTGTTCTGCTATTGAGACATGCGTGGGGGTAGCACGAGCTTTTTATACGTATTGCGCATTTTGAAACATTTTGTAAACTCGAATATATGTATCTTAAATGTTTACTGTACCATACACTTGAGTATCCTGAGCGGTGTCTTTGGCTCGTCAAATCCGGGATACAATTAAGTGTCGATGTTTTCGCTCAGTGTGCTTCAAGCCTTAGGTGTCGTGTAGGAATCAGTTATCATTAATCATTCCTTAATAATGTTAGTTTTTGATATAAACATTGAAAACGTCTTCGATTTCCTATTTTAAACGCTTCTATCGGTTTAGCTTGAATGTAATATCTACTATATGTGCCTACACGCACCGCTACAAGCTACGACGTAACAAATAAATTATGTATTAATTAGTGGTACCAATAAATAAATACCGTTAAACGATATGTCTTTTACTTGTTGAGAAAATGAACGAATGAGTGAGTATATATCGTGTCTAATATAGGACAACGTTGATGTTTCACACTTACAATTTTTTTAGGTATTATTCCCAAACTATGGAGTGGCTCTTATCGATGGTCCCTTAAGTTGCATACAAACGAACGTTATTGATAACAAATATTTATTGTAGCACTTAACAATTACATAGTGATCGACAGTACTAAAGCTGCGAACAAAAGTATAGGCGTCAATAAAGCTACATGGGCAGACGCGTCCATTATGGGAATCCCTGTCATGTGGTAACTCATGTAGTTGAGGACTTGGAACTTAACATTTCTTATTTCATCGCTCTCACTGGATGCTATTGGTCTGTAAATAATGTATTAAAAATTAATGTCCTATTACTCGGCACAATTTTCCTCTTTTATAGGAAAGAGAGTTTAAAAGACCCACCGCGGTGTTCTAGTGCGGGTTGTCGGGCTTTAGGGACTACCACCAGTAATTTGGTCTTAATGTTCAATTTTGCCTTTAACTAGACCAACCATGGATAGCTATTCGTTATTATCGGACCATGAGTCATTGGGACCAGCCAGTGTTGATAACCGGGACAGTTTAATTTTACGTCAATGTAAAATAAAACTCATGTTTATTTGTGTTCCGTTGTCATGAAAAAGATAGCTGACAGCGTCACTGGTTCGAGTTTTGTTCGTGTCTTAATGTTTTGAAACATATATTAAACACATAACGATAAGATTTACTTACCCTACTGCTCTACAATGCGACGAGTTTGATACAACGTAAACAGGTGAAAGAGGGGTACTGTGGGTCATATTTGGACCCATAGGGGACCATGGGTCAATCCCGCCAGCTACGGATACCACGTAGTCGGGTCGCTTAAGCCCGCCGAAGAACAGGTTTGTTCTTTGTATTCCAGAGCGCAAGAGTTCTTCATCTATGCTGAAATAAGTTTTTTTTATATATATTTTGTACACAAAAACGATACCATACCAACATATACAATTTAAAAAACATATTTTTAAACGGTTGTGACGGTTTTTTATCCGTTACTGTAAGACACCTAGACGCCAATATTAACTAAAATTTACGATAATGGTTAATAATCTATAAGTATATTAAATATGTATAGATACCTAGCATAAAACGGCTTAAATATTGCCTTACTTCTTCCCGGATCTTACTCGATCAGAAGCAAGGGCAATAGATAAGTTCGTCTGCGCTTTACGTAAGCATTGTTAAATGGGGGCAGAATATATCTAGGCAAATAATGGAGGGGGTCTTAAATTATCTCGTCTTCCTTTGAATTGTATTTCTTTATTGGCATATTTCTTCGCATAAAAAATTAAAGTTACATTTCTTGAATATATGCATAAGTAAATATGTTATTTAAATGGACCGCGAAGTTGAAATGGAAGTTCGTAATTAGTACTATAGGGGCACTTACTCATTGCTGAAGAAGTCTTTGCACATTTGATGGAAATATTCAAGTGGCACTGTTGTTAAAAATGGCTGTCGCGAGCTGGTTGTTGTCTGGTACCAGCCATATTCAACGCAAGTTTGGTAGGTCCACAGCCTCACTAAAAGGAAAATGTATTGAGGCAAGAGAGGCAGTGATGGATAAACGTGTGAATAACACACATACCTACCATAACCATACCGTAAGTCCATTTTCACGAAACAGCTCTCTATGTAAGCCACTTCGAAATTTACATCAAACCCTTGTTAAGTTACCTCTTTGCTAGCCATGTTGGAAGATCGTTCTATTTTTAAAATTAGACATTTAATTTATTTGACCGCAAAACACGACAAATGTGAATTTTCATACAACTATCGCTGACCGGAGAGCAACGGAACGCTACTTTCGTGGGTTCGAATTCCACTCGTGTCACAAAATCTTTACAATCTGATATAGTTATTTTTACAAAATCAAGTGTTTATATGTATGTCGCGAATGAGCAATGGTACTAGTTAGTGACGAATGCTAATTGCGCGGCAGCTGTTACTGTGCCGAATGTTCGCTGACACTAGTTTATTGTAGCGTGTTGCCGACCGCCTGATGGATTACTGGAAGCAAACATCACGTCAAACTTTCTACACACGGTTTTGAACAATGTCTGACTGACGCGAGAGGTGTATACCTTATATAAAAATAATAGTCTTATAACGTCTTTGTGACCTAAGCATCCGAAACGTCGCATTGTATTTAGATCAAGGATTTGTTTTTGTTTCAAGCTGTTTAATATGTTTTATTCAATCAATAAAACTGGTTTGGTAGTTCATGAGCTCCAGTGTAACATACATAGGGGATTTTAAATAGCTTTTATTGACATCGTAGGATACTGAAAACGGTATGCATGACGGTCTCTTTACCGATCTTGTAAATATAATAATATAAGATGTAAGATAATAAGAATTGTATATATTAATAAGTTAAATATATTAAAGAAAGAGATAGACCGACAAAAACTCTTTCTATCTGGCATCGGTTAAAAAGACCGAAGGGGAATAATTTCCAGACGAGGTCTGACATGTTTCAGTAAAATTATAAATTAATTTAAATATATCTGCAATTTGATTATGCAATTACGCAAACTACTTTATAATAACAATATATTTCTTGAATATTAACGTTTTATCTTATAAGCGTTATGCTTTCAAGACTATCACAGTTTTCTTACTTAAACACAACATCTCAATAATGGATTGGCTGTTTAACAATGTTCCTAGAGAACGTGAAATATTTAAATACAACATTTTAACGGTTTAAAACGCGATCTATATCAGTTTAACTTATTTTAAAATTATTTCAACTACGGCCCGACGTCTCTCCGTGACCACGGCTGCAAAGCCAAAGCTTTGGGTTCCTCTAACCACCAATTTAACGGTGTACTACTCGCGAGAACTACAGCCAGTATTTAACGATACAATATATATTTATAGTTTGATTGTTTTTGTTTTTGAATCATCCTTTACGCCCGTATGTCTCATAATCCATAGAATTGCAATCAGTATCTGTTCTCAATACATCAATGTTCAAATAGACGTACGTCGCTGTACCCTGTTTGTTACAACTCAAATGTATACTGTATAGTAGGTGTGTTTAATCCAGTCTAACATGATCGGTATGTTTATGCGTTTGTATGTCCTTAACTATTCCCTCTGCAATAAAATACTAATATAGAGTTGAATGAAAAATATACTTGAAACATTTTGATAGTACAAAAAATATACCAATACTAATAATATTTCTCTTCGTTTAAATAATGTCTGTATTTTACATGAGTACTACACATTTTAAAATAATGTCTTGCCGTAACTAAGCGCTCTGCTAAGCATCCCTAACCTCGGGCCGTAGTTAACTAATACATTTCGCGTTCTAAACCGTTAAGTGTTTCATTTAAATGTCTCTTCGTTTGCCACGCTGTAGATAACGATATATACTGGAGGTTACAATGATGCAGTAACGCGGCTTGTTGTGATCTCAAAAATGGATTCGTACGTAAATGTGATTGATGTTATATATGGGTGCCTTTAAATTGGGATATATTAAAAATCGATTTTAGATTGAAAAAAAAATATGACACGGGCAGGACTTGCAGCGGTATCTACATGCTGTTCCTCTCTTCAAATCAACCGAGCTGGCATACATTGTCAATTGTGTTGGCATACATTATATAGACACAGGTCTTATGGGTTACTTGAGCTCATAATAAACAGCTTATGCAAAGTGTATTCTTAATTTTGTCTAACGAGTATAAGATATGTAACTTAATGGTAAACAAACCTCATATCTGAAAGTTTTCAAAAACGCCGTCTTTTACGTAATAAGTTCCTCAAAATTAAAACTATCCTTACTTGTGGCATCTGGTGAATCGTAGCTAGTGTTCCGATGGTTCGTTACAACTACAGTGTATCGGGGTTCGATGCAGGATCCGGTCACATTTGTGATCCAATTGGCTAATCTTTGTACAGGATCCGCTGCAAAAAAAAAAACACTTTAACTTTGTATAGTATATGTAGGATATCTAACTGCAATTTTGTTTTTTGTTAATAATTGAAAATAGTTATGGCAATTTTGTTTATTAAACATACCTATTTAATGCTTCTGGGCGGAATATATATTTTCTTCGCTTTTACGAATTTATCGGTGACGCGAATATAATTTTACACTAGACCTTTATTTTGATATTTAGACAGTGCAGTGCAGATTAAGAAATATCATTATTGGACGGACGGACAAAAGTAGTACATATATAAAGAAGTAGCTTAGGTGTATTAAGAGACTACTTCAGAATATACTTACGCTGGCTTCTATCAGTGATGACGTCACACGCTTTAGTAATGTCTCCCGGCATCGCGTACTGCACAAGACGTGCAAAATTCTCCGTTATGCCGTACCAGAAAAACGTACTCAAATCCAAAGTGGCGTTGGCTTGGAGCGGGGCGCAAGTTCTGTAAAAGAACTGTTTTGAAAATAATGTAGGAATGTATACGATCAAAGGACGACAGGTGGACGGCGAAGTATCCTTGATTGAGACAAGATTTAACAAGACTTGATGAGAAACTTTATTTTCTCAAAGATATCAATAAATTTTTTTTATGAGGAAAATCGAACGTCTCTTAGTCCAGTTGTAATATTTTAAACAAAATCGACATTTTTAAAACATCATCATCCATTGTTAAATAATATGAGAGAAAAGTAATTGACAAAAGATCAAATATGTAAACAGTCACAATAAATGATTTGCTGATAATTTGTGAGATAATTAACAATCTTTTCTCTTTTGTGATAAACTGCGTGTCACCGGATTGTACTACGTCCAATTTATCCAATCGACAGGATATTCTCAAAACAGTGGTATTAACATTTACTGTTTTTTTACTAGCTGCTATTATCCTATATTGTTGATTGACCACCGTTTAAAAGCAGTGCCCAGTATTGTCGTATGCCGATAAAATATTCAAAATAAACGTCTCTTCGTAAGGGACGTTTTTTTAAATATATTTTTATTATTTACATTTTGTTGTTACTATTTTAATAATCCGAAACTAATTAAAAAACAAAATAGACAATGACAGAATCTTATAAGTTATCCGCTATATTAAAGTCGGTTTCGTAACTAATCGATCGCCTTCACGATTAAAACAAGAGCCGAGCACGAGAGTGTCCCATCACCCAAAATTTCTACTCAGACGTTATTTCAAAATAACAATCTATCATGTCTCAATGACAGATTGTCAAATGTCAATAACACTAAATCGACCATACTCAAGTCAGAATTAGTGTTCCTTGACGTTTCCGAATATTCCTTACAGGTGTTCAACAACCTATGTCGATTTGGTGAACGTAAAAGATGGCAGCACTGCAACAAAACCCTTGTGAGACAACCTAATGTGTTCGCACTATGTTATATGTACGAGAAACGGAATTAAAGTTGAATGCCCCTTTACTCGTGTCCACTAGACTTACTTGAACATACTGGACGCTTGGGCAGCACCTTCGTTAGTGTACAGCAGGTCTCGTAAACGTGTCATTGCATCGGAAATGCTGTTGAGACACGCCTCGCTACCTTGAGAGCGCAGAGCCTCTGTTATCACCTCCAAGTACTCTGAAATGTATTGAAAAGTTTAAATAAAAAGCTAAACACAAAGATTTTTTACACGCCTATTTCTTTTTTGTTCTGTTTGGACACGACAAGAAAATTGTTTGAACTTCTTCTTCATTTTAAGTTGACACCCCAGATAATTTAGCCAGAATAGGTAATAAAGACTGCAAAACTGTATTATAAAAATAGGTAAGGTAAATAAAACACAACTTTAAAACGCGAGCCCATATAACTTTAGCCAGAATAGGTAATTTGAAAATAGTATTAATATAATAAATTAGTTAAATTAGTTTAAGTTCGGCCCATATTGAAGAGGGTTTCGCCATGCGATCACGTGGAATATAAATAGAGGAATATAATGAGAAAAGTATAAAAGGGTGTTTAAGTTTTTAAAGTTACCTAATTATAGTTTACGTTTCACCCTCTTAATAATGTGCCCTGACTAAAAAACTGAGAACTTAAAAATAAACCATGTATGTTATGAGCAAACTCTACGCTATTTGAGATCGTTTTTTGACACGCTCAGTTCAATATGATACTAAAAAATACCTGGAAAATCTTCTTTTGCGTGTAGCGGCCCACTGTCTGATAGAACAACGTCAATTAGATGAGGGTAAGCGAGACGCATCCATGTGGCCATAGTACCAGCATAAGAGCATCCCATCAGTGCTACTGAGGCGTTTCTGACAGACAGAAGAATTATGACTTGAGATATTTATTTCTGTGTAGATAAATGAAACTTAAAGGACAATCGGTACGTCATACGGCATATACTTATTTACGATAGAAGTTTAGAATATGTTTTTTGCTAACGATGAGATATTCCATATATATTGGATACACGATTTTAAGGAATTAGGCGAATGGACAAGTTTTTTTCGGACTAACTAATAAGTACCTATAGTTTTTGATTATCCGTACATATAATTCAAAATAATATATCACGAATTACATTTACTTTAGGTGAAAAAAAATTGTTAATGTTTAAACAATCTTTTAATATGTAAAGCAGAATATGCGTTTGAATATGTGTGTTTATCACGTGTGTGTCTCATTCACTAACCTGAACCTTCCACCTTCAAATTGTTCACTCTTCACGTGTTCTATAAATTCTGCAAGATCACCCAACGCCTGATCTACGTTCAAGAAACGTAGATTTTGTATGCTCGTATCACTGTAAATGATATCAATGATAATAATAAATCAAAAAAGCAATCGAATGTTGTATTCATATCTATACTAATACTATAGAAGACTGTGTGTTTGAACGCGCTAACCTCAGGCTACTAATTCAAATTAAAAAATCCTTTTTTTGGACCAATCGATAGAGTTTAAACTACATAACATCAGGTTGCAACCAATAGGAGTAAAGATACAGAGCAGGGAAGTTATTATTCTTTGAGCGGTTCCGTGACGTGTGCTGTATAAACGATTCAAGCTACTTGCAAAATATGTATAAAATAATTAGAAATCTATGTCCGGATGGACATAATTAAAAAAATTTTAAGATGTACCTGCAAGAACTATTTATTTGGTAAACAAATTTCGTTAAAATAATTAATATGGTAAAAGAACGTTCTCCTAGGTAAGCTAGCACAAGATAAATTTTAATTTAATATGTGTGAAATCCCGTTTACCCCTTCGTGGGCGTAGGGCGAACACATTTCTATGTCCGTTTCACTGATCAGTTTTTTTTACAGGCAAGTAGTTGATCAGACTTCTGTGCCCTACCCGACCGGAACAATTTTTTTGTTCCCCTGGTATTCGAACCCAGGTCCTCTCGCGCATAACGCAATGCTAGGCAATACGTTTAACCATTTTGCTGCAAGAGGCGGCTTAATTCGATCTATACGACCTTATAAACAAAAGCATAGTTTGAGTTAAAAGATGTACAGTCCTCGTGGTAACCACCACCGAACATACTTTACACCTGTACGTGAAGTTACCGCCCTCTATCGGTAAAAAATGCAAACATGTCTACAACCCTTTCATTGTTTGTTTCGTAATCTACAAAAATATAGAAAGATTTCAGTAGTATTGCGCGAACGCCAAAAAACGTGGACGTTCAAAGAACTATAGGCGTTAATCTACAAAAAGACATATCAAATTTTGCTTCAAATTTATGCCGGTCGCTTTACGATGTTTTTTTTGGAATACAATAGTCAAAGATTATTTTGTAGCAAGACCAAGGATGGGTCTTGTGCTTCCACGAACTGATGTTAGGCCCACATACCATTAGAGAGACTTCTCACAGGCACTTTCTCATAATCACTTGGGAAACACATAAATCGTCGAACTAATAACCTTCGTAGTTAGTTACATCTAAGTACTTGTGATTAATTACGCTGACCGAGTGACCTGTGTCCTAATGACGCATTAGTCATGTCTGATGTAACAGGTAGGCCTAAGCGGTTGCATTATCGTTAACATAATATTCGTGTATGCAATGTAACTTTATAAAAGTGGATTTTTTAAATATAACACTTTAACGGTTCAAAACGCGATATATACTTTAGCAATGTCACATATCAGCAAACGCAAGGACACTGTTTGTCAATTCTGCAAGGACGATGGAACAGATCGCGTTAGCGTAGCTGTTTCTTACTTAGACGTCAGAGACACCCTCCATCTTTAGTCTCTTCACAAGCTCGGGCCGTAGGTAAAATAATTTTCAAACAAGTTTAACTAGCATATATCGTGTTTTAAACCGTTAAAGTGTTTTATTTAAATGTATACTACTCGCTACTACAGTCAGTATTTAAAGTGTATTATTATATTTTTGACGGCTCGTTGGTTTAATAATATCAATGTACGACCATCATTGGGTATTGGGTTCTATCGCCATCGGATCCAACATGTTTCTAATCAATTTATAATCATTTTGGACTTCGTTTGGAAATCTTTTTATTGAATGGGTGGTAGAAATATTGAAATTTCGTCTGGGTCACTAACCACCGTCTACAGATGATAAAGGCGGACAGTTATATCGCCTTTGGGTTTCAGTCTGTGGACTTCGGAATATCCTGGTGAAATATCCTTCCATATCCAATGTACTAACGAATTATAACTTGCAAATAATCTGTTTGAAAGCGCTAATCTCAGGAACTACTCGCTCGAATTGAAAAACTATTTTGTGTTAGAGCATTTATCGAATAAGGCTATAAAACATGACGCTGCTACTAACAGGCGCAAAGAGACAGCGGGAAATGTAAAAAAAACTGAAAAAAATAAAGCATCTCAAACTATAACTTCTTCCGCGTAAAATAAGTTGCTGAAATAGCTGGTATTAAGAGAAGATTATGCATCACAATAGCTACATTTGGGAATCAATAGCATGCAGTCGGACCAATCCGAGCCGATATTACATTTTAACTAAAACAAACTTTTCAACTCTATAATATTGTTACATTTAATTCAATTGAAGCACGACTGGACTTAAAATTCACTCGAACTGTAAGCGAGAAATATCATTCCTCGATATCGAAGTCGTTACTGGGTGCAGCAAATAAGCATAGAAATGATGCAGAGTCATGAGATTCAGCGAGCAGACTGCAATAATTCATAGATACGTCTAGCAATCCATATCGGTCGTTACGGATGGTCTGGCGACGAGCCATTGCGTCTGGCACGTGCGACGTACTAACTGCTTGCCATACATAGGCTGGAGACCCTACCATTGTATTGGTTTGATCGTTGTATTTTTTGTCACGTGGCTTTCTGATGGTGTGGTACACTTGTAGGTAAACGCCCCACCCATATACAAGACGCGCTGTCGACTTTGGATATTCGGAAATGCACACATTGAAACCGAAACGCGATTAAACTTGACGGCTTTTTCATCTGTAGACGGTGGTCGTTACCCGGACGGAATTTCGATATTCCTATCACCCATCTAATACGAAGAATTCTACGTGAAGTTTAATATGTCTCAGAAAAAAAATATAAATAATAATAATAATATATAAATTAATATAATTAATAAACGAACAGCATTCGAAGGTTTGTCTGTTTGTTCAAAACCTCTTGGATTTTCGAGATTTTCGATCCGTCGTGATTGAAATATTGTTTTTATTTTTCTTGTCAAAATTATAAAAACAACTAAATTTTAATTATTATATTACAAAGACCTTCTAGTTCCACAATGATGTTGAAATCGACGTTCATATTTAAACAGATTAAAACCAAAAATTAATTGTATATCTTATACACAACAAGACATTTTCAATATTTTACAAGAACTCTAGTCACGAAATTCGTTTAATCAATTATATGTAGTTGAGTAATAAACTTGTCGTTTTAAACGGTCAAGTGTTTTTTAATAATGTACTTCTAGAGTTCAAGTAGTAGGGGAATGGATGCTGTTACCGTACTACAATCATAATTCACGCTACTATGGGTATATAAAAATTAAACGCCCTTAAAATCGTATCGTTTTGGAGCTATTTGATATTGTCATGTTGATATCGGTTCTTATGTCCACGTGTGGCTTTGTATCATGTAAGATTTTACATACCTTAGTCTTTGTATTGAAATAATTGATCTATCAGATCTATTTTTTCTGTAGTTTATGCGTGTAATACACATTTAAATAAAACACTTCAACGGTTTAAAACCGTATTACCGGCAAACCCAATTGTCGTTAAAGTAAAATGAACTTCGCTTAACAGCTAGCGCTTTTTCCCCCCCTTTCTCCCCGTGACCCGGCAGCTGTTATTAAGCATCGAACTTGGAATTAAAATGGCGTAGTTAAATTAAGTTTACCTAATATATATCGCGTTTTAAACCGTTAAAGTGGTTTATTTAAACATCCTTCTTAAATTAAAAGTGAAATCCCGTTTCACCCCCGTGGCATGAAGCGACCACATTTCTGTGTTCGTTTTACAGATCGGTTTCATTTATAGGCAATCAGATGATCAGACTACTGTGCAATGCCCGACCAAAACAGTTATGGTTTCCCCGGGACTCGAATGCGTTTAGCTGCAAAGGCTTTATAATGGGAATTCATTGGGTATTATGAATTATTTAAATGCTAAAAGGCAGCCCAGTCAAAGTCAAAAGTAAGTTTAATTCTGACACAACAATTATGAGAAAAAAATACAGACTTTGTTTTATTTACTCGGACTTGTCTTTTCTCATCGATCTCGTATAATCTGTGCTAATATGACTTCAGCTACTTCTCAGTTAACAGACGGGCAAACATTAACATAGTACCTCGTTATCAATGTAATGATAACCGTACAGAGCTCGTGCCATGGGGACGGTATTAGTTCGTGATTTGGAATCCGCAGTCTCTAATTAACGTTTATAGCTCCACTATGAGCCAAACGGGGTGACATTACACCGACGTTGTACAAATGCAAATATATATAAAAATACTACCTATGCATTAAATTAGTTGCTATGTACGTTGTATTTTCTTTTTTACTTAGAGTAACTTTATTTTTGTAGACCACTAAATTAGTATTGTACACTAACTTATCAGCGACTTTGGCCGCGTCCGTCGTTCTTGCAAGTAACTCTATACTAATATTATAAATGCGAAATAACTCTGTCTGTCTGTCTGTCCGGCTTTAACTCCGAAACTACTGAACTGATTTAAATGAAATTTGGTATACAGATATTTAAAAGCCTGAGAAAGAAGAGAGGCTGCTTTTAATGCCAAGGGGTTGAAAAAAGGGGATGAAAGTTTGTATGGACATTCGTGGCTTTTGAAGCTAGAAAAATGAAACTTTCTTCTTTAACTTTTTGGGAATAGGAGTGGGACTGGGATAGGGCGTGGAAGTGGGAGTGATGTGAGGCGAGAGTGTTGCGACAAAGTAGCACTTACAACATAGATTGGCTGCCTTTAATACGCCTAATTACATAAATTAAAAAACAGCTTAAAATATAAAGAAACAGTCCTGTCATTTTTGTAGATATTAAAGGATATCATTATTTCATACCAATTGGATATCTTGAAACGTTTTGATAGCTACCAACGGAAACCAAGGTAATCATTTTTCCCGTTTTTCCTACATTTCCGGCTGTTTCTTTGCTCCTTTAGTCGCAGCGCAATGTTTTATAGCCTTCCTCAGTATATGTTCTAACCAATACAAAAATATTACCAATTATTTTTCAATTCGAACTATTAGTTCCTGAGGTTAGCGCGTTCAAACAAACAAACAAACTCTTCAGCTTTGTATATTGGTATAGGTAGATTTTTAAAATATATCCACAATACACGAGTACTTAAGAGTGACAATTTTAAATATGAGTCAGTTTGAGTAAACATTAACGCAAATGGCATTTATATAAGATTTGCTAATTACAAATTAAACATCCAAGTTCGCACATTTTTGTTAAATTACCACAGTCAGATGACTCATAATTACTTTATGTGCCGTGTATGAGATACTAAAAATATAATTGTCTCATAATATACATATATATGACTCAGAACATAGAATGTCAATGACCGTAATGTTAAATAGTTATGTACGCAATGATTAATATAGTATATACAATAATAGTGTTCCGTAAACTCGGCTGCTGGAAGTATCCGAAATATCTTAGTTATAACATACTAGCTGTGTTCGCGACTTCGTTCCGTTTGAAATAGTATTTTTGCAAAACTTAGCTTTTTAAATAATGTTCTTACCTACAACATCGTGCGTGTTCCGTCGTTCTTGCGAGTTAATATTAAAAGATAGACATATTATCGCGGACATTTTTTAGATCATTAAAAGATAAATCATTCTAATTGTTTCTTAAACAGTTTTTGCTCTTATTTAAATGTGAGTCGTATACATTACAGACGGTATAAATATTGTATAGGTAGATTTATCTGTATACATTGGTATTGATTATTTTGTGTTACATAACGGTGTAAGTAGCGGCCTCTCAATCGTTTTCTCGACGAGCGTGTAACACGGTTCGATTCCTGCACTGTGCATTAATTTGCATTTAGTAGGAACGAGCCCGATTGCATTGTTATCTCAAAAGGTAACTGCGCTATTCGGTGAGGTTTGTAAATGAACTGCTATGAGAGGTAACATTACAATTCTGTACCTTTTCTTCCTTCCAGGTAATCACTAAATGACTATGTACACATTTGTACATAGTCATTTAGTTGAAAGGACTAAATATCCTTCGTATATAGTGTCTGTAATTTACGCGAATACTACACATTTAAATAAAACACTTTAACGGCTTAAAACGTCATAATATATATTCGTTACAATTATTTTAACGACGGCCCGACGTTCGGAAGGCTAAAGATGGAAAAATTTAAATGTCAGGTCGTAGTAAAAATAATGTTTTGGTCCAAAACAATTATTGTTTGTTATAGTGCAAAGAGGAATTGCTAAGATTTTTAAAAGTATCGTTCATTTTTTGACGGAGTATCTTAAAACTTTATTAAAAAAAAACACGTGCCTTTTACATTACATTATCGCACAAGTACGAAATTAGATACATTACGATATTGAAATTGGTGTAATTACAACCACTTTACGAGAAAATATGTTATAAAAATATGTACGAAAGAATGATTCTTCTTTAAATCATCAAAAAAAAAATGTCTGCGACACCAAATGTCTATGGTCTATGTTTTAAGATTAACTTGCAATAACAACAGGCCGCGGCCGACGTCGTGGGTAATAGTTTAAATTTATTAAGATGAAGGGGAGGTTTACAAAGCAAATTTACCATTTTACGCATGCATTGTAATACAAATTATAAACTTACCTAGAAGGCCGTGTTAGACCATAATACCGATGCTCCGTGTAGAAGAGACCGCTGTTGGTATAAGAGGCCAATTCGTAGGGTAACCCTGCTGACACCCAACTGGGACTAATAGACCACTCTCCCCCCACATATATAACTATGTTGCTTCCCGTTGAAGTAGAATACTGCCCGTTATAGTAGTATCGCTGAAAAATATTTAGCTATTATTATTTATTTATTTTATATGTTAAATGCCATTAAAAATGCGTTCTCAATATATAAGTAAATTGTCAGTATCAAAATAAAGTAACCTGTCGCATCTTCTGATTCTCTTCTTATTATAGACTCAGTTTGTATTCATTAATAAGTTGAATTAAACGTTTAATTATTGTTATCTTAATTTAAGCCGTTTTATTTTACTCATATACCTGATCAGATCAGATATTTATTTACGTTTAAATGAATATCGCCTGCTTACGCGGAAAGTACACGGTAACTGTTTTAAACGCGAATTATATTATTTAAAATTTAATTAAGTTATGCATTTGAAACCATTAAAAGTATTTTATTTAAACGCAAGTATAAGTTTACGGTTTTAACCAAAATTTGTTCTAACCAATTTAAATTCCATCACGTGTCAAAAATAATGAAGTTTTTAAACGCTTTTCTCATTTTAGGTTTGAAACATACCATGTCCTCTCATGAGTTTGACTGAATTAAAAACCTTACCATGCGAAATGTCTCCGTATTAGAAGCGTCAAAGTGGTTCAGTTTGACGTCAATCCATCTCTCTGGAACCTCATTTCGTGATGCAGATTCAGGAAGGGGTGGTTCTTTTGTGTGCAGTCCCAGGGTTGAAGATACAAAGAGTAGTAGTAGCCCTTTAATAAATCAGATTTACGTTAATATATAATTAATCTAAATTAAAAATAAAAAAAATTGTGTACAAAAAGCTATTTAAGTAACAAACGAATTAAAATTAAATACGAATCGATTAAATCGATCAAAACGGATAACTTTTTGAAACGACGTAAGTTTGATACAGCGGCAGTAACTTGAACACGACGAACCGTGACTACTCTTGACTCTGAACAAGACAACCGCTTCACAATTAAAACAGGACTACCCGCCCCGACGTTATTTCAAAAAAACAATTTGTCAATAACCGTCTGTCATCGCAATGACAGCTTGTCAAATGTCAGTGCCTCTAGTGCACAGTATTGACTCAAGGCACAAGTGTTACTTGTTGTTTCCGCATATAGGTGTTAAACAAACTATCCAGTCGATTTAGTAAATGTAAAAGATCGTCTTTGTGTAAAGAAGTTGGTAAATTCGGTTTAATACTTCCTCCTCCGTTTACACGTGTAGTGTCCGTATTGATGACCGTCTCCGGCATATACAATTAAAAAGTGATACGATGGTCCAGTTAGCTGTTAGAGTAATACATGTAATCCTGTTATTCATACGTTTAAGTCCCGCCTTTATTTATTTAAATATTTATCTTCTCTTATTACAATTAAGCGTTCTCTTCCAGGAAACATTTCTTAGAAAAATAATTTAAATAAAATAAGAGGAATGTGAAATCACGTATTATTTAGTATTATAAAAGACAAAAAGATCATAAACCGAATTAGGAATAGGTAAATGTTTTAGATAGGAATAGAAATGTTTATAGGGAAGGTATTTAAAAGATGACAATGGAGGAGCTAAACGAATGGGAATTGGAAGTAAATCTCATGAAAGTTTCTTTATCTGTTAAAAACAAATGACGCGAAGAGAAGACCTCAAAAATCAGATCAGAATATGTTTATTAGGAGGGGAGGAGAATGTACAACACATACACCATGAGCTTGAAACTAAGATTTTTTAATAAATTGTAGACATTTAAATAAAACACTCTAACGGTTTAAAACGCGATAAATTAGTTGAACTTATTTGAAAATGTCCTTAGAGGTCTCTCCGTGACCACGGCTTCTGTAAAGCATCCGAAACGTCGGGCTGAAGTTAAAAATCATTTTCAAATAAGTTTAACTAATATATAGCATTTTAAACCGTTAAAGTATTTTATTTAAATCCGTACTACTCGCGCAAACTATAGACAGTATTTAAATTGTAGATATTGCACATTGAACATTAAATTTCTTACTTTATTATTAAAACACTTACACATTTTGACACTATATCTCAAAACACGACTACTATATGTTTCTTATGATATCGTTATCTACTAAAGTATTTAGGTAATTTATATAACTTTAATAAATCGATTGAATTCATAATTCAATATGATATAGAATCTTATCGCGGCTTTGCTGAGGTGTTATAATTATTAAATTAGAAGATATAATCATTGGCACGATTCGAGTCGCATTAAAAAAAGTTAACCTATTACCATTTTAAGCCATAATAAATAAATATCTATAAAGGTACAAAAAACAACTGTAACGAATAAGTAGTTTATACTATTGACGATACTTAAAATATCATGTTTAAATAATTGACTCTAGTAGCCTATAGAAAACAAGGGACTTAGTTATTCAGAGCGGTTACTCACATCATGCTTCTAATTACAATATTAGAAGATAATTTTGCTGTTAACTAGTAGGCGATTTATAATTTTAAGGCATTGATAAAAATATAGCCAAAACCGAAGGAAGCCATTAGTTATATTTACAAAATGCTTTATAATTATATGGGTCAATATAATAGGATCAAAATTAGTCTTTTATAGCAATGTAAACCTCAGTGTACCAACATAACAATAATAATACTTTTAATGTTCAATACAAACAACAAGTTCAAATTTACTTTTTAATGTTAATAGATAAACTACTTATCTGATAAAACATGTTAAGAGATTAGATACTTCAAATGATGTATTTTACATTTGTATTCATAAGCAATGGCTATTGATTGAAAAGACGTCCTAATTATTATATGACAATGTATATCATTTATGTATGATAGCAATCTTCGTGTCAAATTAAACCTATTTCCAGAAATATATGTAAAGGTACTGTTACATATACATTTCATGAACAAGGTCGAACCGTTAATAAGAAGTTCGATATTAACATTTGACTTAAGATTTTTTAAAAAATCTATACTAATATATAAAGGTGAAGAGTGAGTTTGTTTGTTTGAACGCGATAATCTCAGGAACTACTGGTTCGAATAAAAAACATCTTTTCATGTTGTTGAGGGCATTTATCGAGAGAAGCTATATGCTATAGAACATCGCGCTGTGACTAATAGGAGCGCAGAAACAGCGGGAAATTTTAAGAAAAGGGAAACCTTTCTAGGTTTGCGATGCGTACGCAGCGAAAACCAGTTACGATACGCGGACGAAGTCGCTGATCCAGCTAGTCGTTAATAAGAAGTTTGATAATAAGCATTTGACGTGAGACTTTTATGAAATATCGCATAAAACCTGTGTTTTATTTAGGTATTCAATATAACACATAGTTTCATCTGTTTAAAAGAAACTTGTATAAATAAAAAAGGAACACAATAACATAATTATTTGGCAATTAAAAACGGCGGTCACGTCTGACCTATCCTCCCCGTAAAAAGTAAGATGTTTAGACACTACCCTCTAAAGTAGTACATAGGTATAAGTTTTACGTTTTGAAAAGCTCTTACGAACTCACTGAAATCCTGTTACCCCTACGTGGGAAATGTATTATGGATACGGCTTGAGAAATGTTTTTATAATATTTTAAGTTTGAAGTATATAAATTAAAAATTGAATTTAGTATTCCGTGCAACAGCACAACAACACGGTAGCTCAATTGGTTCGAGCAACACCTATAACCAATTGAGCTAACGTGTGTTAGTTAGCGCAACAGCATGGAACGTTGTGGTTAAAATCCCGCCAGTGTCGTATTTTTAATCTAGATTTTAATCTATTTGAAATTAACACTGATTAGGCGAGTTGCAGCTGATATAATGTCAACAAAGATGGCTCTCCAACCCGCGTTGGGAATTTCTAAGCATCGGATGTGAGGGAAAATAACAAAAGACGGAAATTACTTCTTAATAGACAACGTGACTTGGCTTTACTAGAACTAACGCCATAATCAAAGTAATTAATGCTAGTCAGCTATTCCAATGCGTGAATAAAAATATGTTTAAACACTAGACTAATTTTGTAATATCTATACACATTATGTTATTTGTTAAAATAAAACTTTTTAGCTTGATTTTAATTTAACCGACTTTAATCTGTCTATAGTTTACGCGAGTCCACATTTAACTAAAATACTATAAACGGTTTAAAACGCAAAATTTATTAGTGAAACTTATTTACTAGTTCCTTCCCTTGACCACGGCCATTTTATACTAAACTAGCCAGATTACTATGTATACCTTAACTAAGAATATTAAAACTCCTTTTACTAAATATAATTCTGATGGTGATTAATTAAGTTGTTTAAATAAATCACTTTTAACGGTTTAAAACACGAAAGCTATAAGTTAACAATTTATTTTAACGTTTCGGGTGCTATGTAGCAGCCGTGACCGGTTGCGCGGGATCGGTTCTAGCATTTTATGCCGTTAAAAGTGTTGTATTTAAAAGTCATATTTCAATTAAGCGCTTACAAATATCAAATAGAACGCAATAACTTTCAAGCAGTGTTTCGTACCCTTTCCCTTATTATTAGGAAACCTAATAAACGCCTAACTAATAACAACTTACGTAGCAATAAAAGGGATAACTAGTGTCGAGTTGACGCAGCGCTAAGGCGTCGGTTGTGTAATATGGTCACGTGCGCTATAATGAATCAGACGAGGATGTCGAAGACTTATAAAATATAGATTTGCCTTAGTGGACAGCGCGAGGTAGCTCAAACTGTAGAGAAAAACACGATGCGTTGCGATTTCAAGACCCATCCCTGTCATATTTTTTTTCCACGTTTTTGTAATGTATATTAAAAAAAAAATAATAACAGTAAACGGGACTTTAGCGCACTACAGACAGCGTTTCGTGGCATTTTATGTCAATTGAGCTACCACGTCACCATCTATATTTTATTATTATCTCTAGTGTGATATTGCTTGTTGCCTTTTCGTAAGGGTATATTGAAAAAGATACTTTGCTAATCTGTATATACTCCGGGACACGATCCCAACACTACAGTAGGCATGCATCTATCTCTTCATATATTTTATCTATCACTAGTTATGTTTCGGTTCATGGGATTAAGACACAGACTTATCTATGGTCTTATATCTGTGCAATTTGCCTCGTTCTGCGGTAGCCGGTGATTGTTAACTATCGCCTCGGTGATTAAGCACTGATTCATTTCTGACTCGAGTGCACCTGTCCAATTTGGATAATAACAAAGACAATTTGACAATCCCTACGACACACTCCATTTAATATATAACATTACTACAGCCGGTAAGAGAGGTCACTTCAGAACTTTACAACCAATGATGAACTTAACGAATCGCAAAGAATAGTTTTTTTCGGGCCAAAGTATGTTTTTTTAAATACCGCTTTCTATGTGCGAGCCAGTTCCAAATTTAAATTATACCTTTGATAACTTACCTCTTTCGTCCCCATGTTGCAGAGTAGAAGATCGTCCATTTTTAAATTACACGACAGATATGGATTATCACACAACTATTGCCGGTCTCTGCTCGACTCGAGTACTCAAGTACGATTTACCTTTAAAAAATTTGTTAAAATAATGCTAAAATTTACAAGCATATTTGAGAAATAACTGTTTATAATTAATAGATCTTTGCTACGTGTATTACCGTCAACAGGAAGCAAATATTTAAGTACCATAAGAATGGAACTGTTGTCGTTTGTATACATGTATAAAAAGAATTTGATCGATAAAAAAAAACTGACGAAGAAAGGTCCCAAGTTTTCACTTTATTATTTATATGCCCTTCTTTTTTTAATTTCTGGCTATTTAAAATGAAAATAAGCTGTCATATACATACATATTTTGACTCGATGGGAGTTCAACCTCACGTTGATTTAATAACAATATTTGTCTTTGTGTCCATTCTCACATGTACTCACTGGTGATCAAATTGTCTACGCCCTTATCATCTTCAAACACCTATATATACCTTTATAGGAGGCACAAGTCCCAGCTTTTCTACCAAAGAAGTTTCAAAATAATATATTGTAATGTTTTCATTACTTAGTATTGTTGCATTCCTAAAGCCGTTTTCCATTTCACTAAAAGCACGTGTTTCCTAAGGTTGTATCATATTGACCTTTAACAGAAGAATTTTTGAATATCCCGTTTATTGCTTTTCAAGTCAAAGCTTCTTATAAGAAATAGAAATATACAGACGTGTGTCAGTGAGGTGAAATCCTGATTCGCCCTGTTAGCCTGGGGCGAAAATATGTCTGTGTCCGTTTCGCTTCTTGGTTATTTTACAGGCAAGTAGTTGATCAGGGTCATGTGCCCTGCCGAACTGAAACAATCGATTGTTTCCCCAGGGTTGGAACCCAGGCCGTCTCGCGCTTACGCAATGCAAGGCAACACGTTTCTATATTTATTTATTTTCGTATTAGGCATATTTGTAAGTAATTTCTGAAGTCAAATGGGCGTGTCTATTTCTTTTTGAATCGATTTTTAATTTACATTTAGACTAATAGTAGAATTTGTTTGTTTGTATGTTTGAACGCGCTAATCTCAGGAACTACGGGTTCGAATTTAAAAGTTTTGTGTTGATTAGAGCATTTATCGAGAAAGGCTATAAAACATTGCCCTGTGACTAATACAAGCGAAGATAAAGCGAGAAATGTGAACAGAATTGGGGAAAATAGTAATCATTATGGATTTCCGAGGCGTACGTTGCAAAAATGGTTCAAGGTACCAACAAAAATATGTATGAAAGAATGATTCCTGTTTAAATGATCTTAAAAAGTCGACTACACTATATGTATATCTTTTAAGATTAACTTGCAAGAACGACGCGAACAATGTCGTGGGTAACAGCTTAAGTTTACAAAGATGAAGGGGTTTCCAAAAATAAATTTGGATGCCCAAAATAACAATTCTCTCGGATGAAGTCGCAAACGCGGCTAGTACTTAATACCTTATAAAAGTATGTTTACTATAACACCTCATAAATAAAAATAAGCTAAATATTTTAAGCGCTTGAGTGACTTTCTTAGCTACGACTAGCTTAGCTTCT